TGGATATCCCGACCTCTTCAAAATTCAAGATCAGCTTGTGAAGCATAATATGCTGTACATAGCGATACTCAATGTTTATCAACAAACTCATGTGCCAACCATKATCAGAATGGCTTTTCACAAGTCGCTTTGTTCTAACAGCCAACTGTCTTCGGTTGGCAAACGAGTAACAAAGGCTTAGATCACATTCAGTATTGCTATAAATTAAGGCCAACAATTATGATTACAATAATAATATGTACAAATTAAAGGAAAAATGTTTTTGGCCACAAAGTCATCATCAAGATCAGCTTGTTGACAAACTACCAACTTATTTTAAACAGATTCACTTATAACTAAAAATGAAGGAATATCATATACATACATATACCTGGGCGTCTGGGTGACTGCAGGTACATGGCATTGTAGGTGAAATACYCTTGGACATGTATCACAACAGAGTAGTTCACCACCATTACGACACACAGCACACCAGTCATCGTTGGCRCTTCCTTCATCGATCCCACTCTCTCCGCTTGCTGCATCTTCCTGCTGTTVACAGAAGATAGTTTTAATGTTTTATTTTCAGTTGTCAGTGGGAAAAGGATTTCCTAAAGTAACCTCTAGAGCGGATTTCGTATGAGTGGGACACCATTACCACATGGTTACCGCACAGTACCGGACCTGGCCTGCACAATTTTTGTGAAGCAATGAGACACTAGAATTTGGTTACAGTACGACTACGGTTTCAGTACAGTACCGTCCGTTTCCCACTGATACGAAATCCACTCTCTATTGCAGGTGTATTTAGTTAGCAGAGTTTGCCAAATACTCTTACACTGGTACAGGGTTTGTGATCACTACTAAAGTCGGACAAGTTCAGAATTGTAATTTTCAATGACTACTATTGATTAAGATATTTTGTGATGACGTTGGCAGTTTTTAAAAAGTAGCCACATTTCAATCCAAAAAGTAATTAAGCAAATTAAAATTGAAAATGTCAAAATTCATCAGATTCAAAGAGTTTTAAAGCAGTTTTAGCCATTTTCCCCAWTTACAAGGAGTTTTCAATTCCAGGGCTTTTCAAAGGATTTCAAGGAGTAGCACCAACCCTGTACATAAGATGCTGCAACAGAGGTTATCCCAACAGAATGTTACTGGTATTGTCAYATGGCATGTAAATAGAACATGCTGCTAGGAATCTAGTAAAGTCCTGGAAAAAGAGATTGTTGAAAGACTATTGATGTCTGGCYATAYTGTTTACAGCAGAAACTGTTGCATCGTGACTTCAATGTTCAAAAGAAATWGTTAGGATTAAGTTTTTTTCTGAGACTTTGTGGCAGAGCTWGCTGCAAATCAGSMAATGACTGAACAAGTTTACAAAAAGCTCYGCCCCTTAGATTGAAGGAAAGAACAAAATCAAAACAAACTTCAAAAYAAAGAAGTCACGATGCAGTGATTTTCGCTGTAACACATGCCACACTTGGAAATAAAAGCATGATGGACTTGGATGTTGTTGGATGGATTGTGAAGACATTTTGGTACCTAAATTGCAATACCATAMTGTGGCTTGTTAAATGAGTTTTGCACATGTACAGTGATTTAGAAATCAGGAATTTGAGTTAAAAATTTGAATGTGCATGAATTTATTAAAGAAATGTATTTATTATGTCAGAAATTATGGGAAAAATACATGATTTCACATATTATGAACAGTACCAAGGTCAAGTAGTTCACTATGGTCTCTCCCCTCCCCCCATATACAGTGTATTATGACTATGAACTAGACATAACAGTTATTTCATCAATTTTTTGGTGATTTTTATTTAAAAAAATTACCAATAAATTTTTGTTATTAAAAAAAACACATTATAACATAGCGAGCAATCAAATGTATCAAAAAACTTATTGGCTGTAATGGACAGTATGACCACTATGTGTTCTTGCAGGAAATTGCTTGAGAATGAGTGGTTCTCAATCGTATTTGAAAGGAAAAAACATTACAATGTACCTAGTTTCAACTCATCGATAAAGAAAAAGGAAAGATCCATGCTCCCTTTTACTGTACATTATGAAAAATAWATTTACACGATAGAGCCTTACTAATTGTATAACATATTGTTTGTAGTGTTACTACTCTTTGATGGTCGTAGAGAAACTACCCTAAATATGTAGCAAAACACTTCATSCTCACTAAAGCATTATTCCCTAAATAAACATACATTGGACATCATTGTGTGAAAAATAAAATACAGTGAAAGTTTTGTACTGTAGGCAAACCATGGAATAATTTAATATTCTCAGACAATACAAGGCTATCCCTGAGGARGACAAAAGTTGAAAATGGAGAATTCCTGACATTTAATATAATACTATGCAAATATATATATGCAAAATATATGTCAAATCTATAATCTTTAAACTGTAAACCATATATAACAATAAAACTATTTTCATTTAAAATACAGTATAAGATTTTAAAATACTTGATTTTTTTAATAATTTGAATATTCCAGCTGTGCTGATTGCTTGGTTTTCATCATAGGTCAATTATATTTCAATTTCTCTTTGCCATACTTCAAAATTSGCCAATAAAGCTAATTTTTTKTTAAGATTGTTTAAAATTGTGTAATGACTTGAKTGTTCAGGCTATGACTGTGCTTGGTCTTGTATGGGTCAATAGGGCGAAAACTGTATGAAAAACAAAAGAAAAATATATGAGAAAAATAATTTTGTTCAATTCAAAAGACCCATATCAGCCATACATAGATCTTAGCCTGAGCAAACACAACTCAAGAGCTTGGAATAAAAGKTGTAAACCAGAAAGAAAGAAAAAAGAAAAATTGTTAAAATCATTTTAAAAAGACTTTGTTTTATTTCAAATAATTTTTATATGGATTTCAAATTTTCAATTATAATCCCAAATGCTCATAAAAAGCTTATTATATACTTTCATATTCAACCTTGATTAGTATCCTATGATAAGCAATCATTATCTACACAAGATCAGATACTAGACTTTTTTCAATTCTAATTCTTTTTTGTCCAAAATAGAAATCCAAATGAGTTAAATTATTGTATATTAGCTAGCTATGTAGATGTTAGTTGCTAGATGTCTCAAATCTACTTTGGGATTCAAAAGTAGGATTGTTATGGTATCCTCTTTTACTGTTAGTAAAAAGTATCTTTTTTTTTCATTGRTGTTTCTTGCCTATCAACAGTCTGACAGTTACTCTATTCACATGCTGCTTAAAGGTTAATGGGAGAGACAATTAGTCTGGTGGAATATGGTACCAGTTATGGGACCAGCACTATTCATATTCCTACAATAGTAGATACTTAGCAATGCATTAATAATTAACAATGGGCTTAAAAAAGGGTTATTCTTACACAAGATTAAAAAAAAGATTATTTACTTTAATTACACTGGATGAATGAATAGTTGACAGCTTTTTTGAATGAAAAAAAAAAGTTTCATGTATAATCAATGAGTTCAATGAGAAAAGTGGTATTAACTATCATGGTAAAAAGTATTACTTGTGTACTAAGAAATGCTATATATATATGAAGACTGGAATAAAATGTACACAATTAGTGATTTTTAAAACATGAGGACTAGAAATCATTGCAATTATTCAGTAATATTACTACAAAAAGGAATTCTTACATCACAGACGCATGTRTCAATAACTACGCAGTTGTTACAGAAAAGAAACATTATAAACCAATAAAGGTCTACAGTGTATCATAAAAATTATTGCATAAAATATTATTAATTTTGATTTTCCTATAAACCAAGCAAAGCAGCTCCCTCCATTGCAGGCSTACATCAGAGTTAATACTATTAATGATTCATGATAAGTCAACAATGACTTCATACCTGTTTTTTGGAAGATGAACAGCTTGAATACTCTCCAAAACWATCCTGYCTTTCTTGTTTTACTCTTGGCTGCGATGAAGGACTAGAAGAAAGACCTGATGAGCTATACGTCCTTTTCATGTTTGATGGTCTTCGGATGTAAGAATTTTTGCTGAGACTGCGAACATTTGTWATCTGGCCAAAACCATTTTCRCTTGGTGAGGAACTAGAGTGGGCTTCRGGTGGGGTACTACTGGTGCTGGAAGGCCTCTGCGGYGGGGATCCTCCCAAATAGTGGTGCAGTGGCTGTGTTTTATTGAAGGTAGCTACTTGTTGTTGTCGYTGGTTTGCTATTGTCTCAGCGTACTTTAGTGTTGCTAAGGTATTCATTGTGGGTTGGGTTACGACGCTGCCTTTGGGTAGAATGGGTAATGTCTTGTTAATAGTCGTTGATGGGTAACCTATGACTGGACTACTAGCACCACCAGTATTTAAAGACTGCCCATTTGCTAACTTAACTGTTAAATTGTTAGTTACTGTTGATGCTGCAGAAAGGCGCTTGGTTAAGTTGTCRTATGGGTTCGTACGGTGTGTACCTTCAATTCCGCTAGTGGACTTGGACTGTTGAATGCCGCTAGTACTGGCAACTGGGCGAAAACCTGAGTCAATCCTGACAGAGCTGTTACCCTGGGGYTTGTCAGCAGGAGTAATAACAGAACCCATTTTACTAATAAATGAAGCCATTTTCTCAGCATCCATTGAAAACTTTAAATCACTATGGGCCACAGGRTTAACCTTGTACTTCAAGCTCAACAGGTTCTGTATTCTTGAACTAAGTTGTTTCTTACTATAAAGCAAAGTCATGTCACTGCTTGATTTCAATACATGCCTGGTAAAACCATAATTATGTTGTAGAATCTTCTGCATTAGCCTAAGRTCTTTGTTTTGTTTGGCCAACAGTTTGTGTTTAAAATGAACAAGGGCTTTTAATTCGGTTATCAGAACTCCTTCTCTTTGCTTGACGGCTTTCACTAATGTATCACAAGCTTTGTGAATTTCTTGAGTTATAACTTCTTCTCTTTCTTGTAAACCTCTAGCTGCTTTTTCTATATCTTTGATTGACTCAGTTAAAGGTTGTGCTTGCTCGTACAGACGGTTTAACTGGGCTCGTAAATACTCTCGATACGATACCGCCGACTCCTTTACAAATTGATATTTGTGATCTTTATGTTCTAAAAGTTGACAATCTCTACACGTTAGTTTCTCGCAATGGCCACAAAATAGTTTTAGGGGTTCATGAGTATGAACACTGCAAAATATTGGCCGTTGATCCTCGTTGGTCGAAGAAGCGCGATACTCTTCCATCGTTTGAATAGTATGGTCCTTTGTTACACGGACGCGTTGGTGAGCTTGTACACAAGCATCGCAAAGCCAGTCAGTACAGTCGAGACAATAAGAAGTAGCAGGACTCTTATCYTCACAWGAAGTACACACTCGTTCGTTGTTCTCTTTCTTGCGAGTTAGTTTACTCAGAGACTCGAGCATAAATTGATTGTCTAGAAAGCCAGTTATGCCCTTTTGAGGAACGAGAAATTCTTGACCACAGGTCGGGCATTTTAGACGCGATAAGGTCTGCGAACCGTTAGTTGTAGCAGGGTTTTGTTTGGGATCTTGCTGTTGTTGCTGYTGCTGAAAGCGTTCTTCTAGACATGTATAGCAAAAACTGTGAAGACATGGTAGAAGCTTCGGATTTGAATCCTGGCTTGATTTTCTACAAACCCCACATAACATGAACAAAGACTCTTCATCTGGCTCTTCACTACTGACATTTGAACCAGCTTCGGCCATTGTAGTTCTTTTTTGACAGGTTTCGGGGCGAATACTTCGATTAAAAAGAACAAAAAGCTACATTTTCAACAATTCAACATGGCGGCTAGATAGAGATTCATTGACATTACCACGTGACGTAATCTTACGTCATGAATATACATGAGGTAAATCCGCGCCATTATCATTGCCATTGAACATTTCTGTGATTTACGAGACGAAATGATCTCATTTTAAACTTTTTACGATTTTCATTAAAAAAAATTTGAAAATTATGTCAAAAATTCGTAAAAATCACCCCCATGTCAATATYTCATATCTGAAACAGCTAGGAGTCAGATGTTTCGTTTCAGATCGCATCATTGTCTTTTTCGGTTCCGTCTTATTCCCAAAGTTCCCCATATACAAAATTACAATTTCCGGTATTGAAATCCTCGACCAAAAAAAGAATGTTAATAGCAGAATCTATGATGCTTTGGAAACCTAACCTACCTAAATCATATGATGTTTGTAAAGTGTGAGTGTGTGGGCGGGGCGTTGCTAGGGAGTAATGTGCCTTCGACCTTATCTGACCAGTGTGACGTCACATAGTTAATTTGATTTTTTTTTTCTGTTCTCCCTACGTTCTCTCGCATTCAACGCCCTTCAAAACGCTTTTTTCGGTCTAGTTCTCCTTTTTTGTCTGGATACTAGATTTGTTCAGCTTATGGAAAATAAAGTCGTGAAAAGCTTCCGTACTCTACTATGTTTACTATTCAGTTGTGAATTTTCAGGGAAATCTTCTGATCAGCCCATCATATTTTCCCTTTCTTTCTGTTCGCGTATTCAATTATTAATTCTTATTGATTTTTTTTTAATTTCTTGTTCCGTAGTTGTATTTTCTCAGATTTCAGTTCTGGTCTTTGAGCTATTTCCATTGCATGATTTATGAATATTCCGTTTAACGGTGTTAAAACCGAAATAGCGTTCGTCTGAAACCCGCAAAGACGTTCAGTCCAGTGATCAAGATTCAGACCAATTTTAGACATTCAGGACCCAACGTTGATTACATTTCATAAACATACTGATATTTAACAAAACTGAAAATCTATGCGAGCTGTGAGTTTGTGTGATTTGCAATACTTATTGACGGTGTTTGATGACATCATTCTGATCATCATCATTTCATATCACGTGACAGCTGGGAATCGCCCAGCAGAAGGGAACGGATTGATCTAGCCAGGAACAAAGCTAATAGGTGTTTTACACTGAGACACGAGTCTAGCATTGCAATAAAAGCAAAAAATAAATAAAGTAAAGTAAAGCACCAACACTTTAAGGCACAACTATTCTAATGATTCCCAGCTAGCTGTAGGTCACAACTGGTACCAGCAAGAAATTCAAGAAAAAAGAACTTTCCAGGCAAGGAATACTTTCTCATAATTCTTGCAAGGAAAATAAAAATTTCCTAACTAAAAAAAAAATTATAAGTCGTTTTTGACATAAAAAGTTTGCCCCGAACAAAATTATTTTAAAGAAGGAAGGGCACCACACTTTTTTGTGAGATTGCCAGCAATGTAAAGCTCAAAATCTCCTAGTTCCCAAGATAACAATACAAGAACAGCTACAATGGGAGACATTTCTAATGGTACAACACGATTATTTTGAACAATTTACAGAAATTTCCTGTTTCCCTACCCCCCCTGCCCCCAACCCCCCCTCCCCTTGCCCCCCTATTCAATGTTGGTAGATGCCCATGTTCAATACCCATTCAAATATTGATCTCACATGAAACTAACATTGAATGAGGGGGGGTTTGGGGCGGAGGTTTACAATATATCTCTGAAAGGTACAAAAATATGAGCTTGTCCCGTATAAATATGTCCACCATTGTAGTTCTTGGAAGAATAGACCCCGTCTGCTGATTCTGAATAGGGGTGTACACTTTTTAGGCTTTCCAGCAGGGTTTTAGCTACCACCAATTTATTTACTTATCTAATTTATTTAATATTTATCAAGTAGACTATTAAATCAAAATTAAAAGGAAATAGGCAATGTCATATTGATCTGGTCTAGTTGAATTGCCATATTGCATAATGACGTCACAATACGTTGTGCATTATAAATGCTCAGAAAGACTCGAAATTTGGACCTATTTAAGATTCTTTCCGAAAGTAGAACTTTAGCGTATCGAGTTTGATGGAGATCATTTGTCAATGATAGCTCATCTTTTTGTTATTTGAAATGCAGTCACTCTGTTCCCCTCTGCCGACCATAATCCTTAGCGTTGTGACATAATTATGCGATAGGGCGTGGAATTTCGAGATCAGTTTTGATGTCTTGATTAGGGGTCAAGGTTTAAAGGTACCAGCGGAACGTTTCCTTCAGAATCTGGATCAAGTATCCGGGTTTCCAAGGTTGGTCAAAATGACATCGATTTTTTCATGTTTTTGTCATTTTGACTCAGTGTACCTTGACGTGTCGATTCAACGCTTGTTACATKTAACGTGAACTTGTGCATCACATGAATACTATTTTAATTTTAACAATGTAATAATGTGTGATACTCCGCAAAGAAAAAAAAATGAGCAAAAAAAAGAGTAATTTATTATAGTAAAAACAATGAGTGAGTAAGCTATAGCATGTATATTTAAATATTATGGTAAATTTGCAGCAAGGAAGATTCATACTGTATTTTTGACACTAGCTAAAGTTAAAAGGTTCAAGACTGAAGAAGGAATGTCATCGTCTTGACCGAAACGTCTGAATAACCAACGTTTTTAACTTAAAGCTAATGTGAAAAATACAACGATATGCAGAAATTATGATTATTTTGACTGATCATATTCCAAGTATACATATATATAATATCAAATTAATATATCAGAAATTATAGAATATCATCGCCAATATAGTTTTTAGAAAGTACTAGTGCTGGGCAACTTCAACAAAAATTGCGATAATATCCCATAATTTCTGATAAAATTTTATATATACTTGGAATATAATATGAGTCAAAATGATCATGATTTCTGCATATTGCTGTACATGATGTCTTTAATTGAGCTAAGGCGTATTGCGATTTTTTTTTCTTTTTTGTTCCCGACGGAAAAATAACTGAATATTCCTGGCATTTGTGATGCACCACTTAGACCCTGTAGACAACTTCTACAAGTGCGGGTTAAGTGGGTGTTTTTTATATACGGCTAAAATTAAATAATTTATTTATTAAGATTTTTAAAGGTTAATTTTCGGTGTCCAATTCAGCCGTCGTGATGTCGCGTAGTTAAAGCGAGTTGTTTCTTTATGTCAATCAAAGTTATGGATCACCACATGTAGYTTTAAAAGGCGAGCATAAATAATGCATAATTTGAATTTCACCTATTGTGAAAGGTCATTATGAAAGTAATAATGTCTTTCTTGATGCTTGAATCAGTACAATCAGCTTTGGATCCTACAAATTTACAGTGACAGCGCGCCCCCTTCGAAATTTCCGGATCCGACCAGTAGCAATATATATTTTATGTGTCTATAAACGAATGCGCTTTCGTGGCTCTTGGGCGTCACCAAGAGAATGAAAATGCATGCGTAATAGTTGACTTCTGCTGAGCTACATTTGTCCCTTTCAAAATTATCGCTAGTGGGTGAGCAATGTTCCGACTCCCTGTATTTTGGGACGAAAAAATCGATCGCTTTGTCATATGACGCTTACGATCGATTTTGTTCATTTGCCACAATTTTGAATCTGAAAAGTCATTTTACAATTTAAAACTATTGGCTGATTTTATACTTTGAATTGTAGGATAAATGTACATGGTTTATACACCACATCCTATTATAACCAAAGCGTTTTCCTATAGAAAACGTTGGTACTTTAATGCAAAAGGAATGCATTGCAAAGCAACGAAATTGCGTTGAGTCGGAGGGATTTTTGTTTTGTCTCTTTTTAATGATTCCTATTGCATGAAAGGACAACGTGTGTAAATAGGTCTAAATCCTGTTTTGTTAAAAAAGCGGGAAATTACTGACTCATATAGTCATTTTCAACTATAAGGTCGTCCTAACTACCTAGCCGGGCCTGATTAGCGTTAATCAGGGTTAACCCTATAGGTTTTCTAAGAGTTAACCCAGGATTAGCGCTAATCAGGCTTTGAACAACCCAGCCCTGAACGTCATTGCTGTATCTAGCGTTTTTCACAAATGAATGGATGTACTTCATTACAGGACTCTAAGCTCCAATCTACAGTTGATCCAATWCCCTTTCTCAAATACACGCAATCCTTGTCAGAGTGCTGATTTTGTATTGCAGACATGTATGTCAACGGCTGGTTGTCTGACCACTTGAAGATACCTTCTTCGTCGATATCATTTAGTCCAATCCATGCTCCAAAATAGAGTCCATCTGAAATGATAACTGAATGGTGAGCTTATTATAAAGGGATCGACCCCGTACTATCAAACCTCGTTACAACGTGCAAATCTCTAGGGTCCGGCAAATTTTAAAACTCATTACTCGTACTTTCCTATACGTTTCGAGCATCTCTATTAACTATGTTTCGAGTAAGGCCACTTTCGGTGTCTCATCATAGTTAATGGTCTCATGTATGAACGGGTTTCGACTGTAAACCGATCTTTGCGACCACATGTAAAATCTTTCGATAGTACTTTATTTACACTTCCTTAAAACAGCTCGTGCAAAAACTCCTAGAAACTACCCCTARTCCAGTCATACACTATCTAGGGTTCAAGTAGTATCAAACATGGAAGAGCGTGAAATGTTGAGTGTACACAATTAAAGTTATAGTTAATTTAAGACGTTATCCCCCTCTTTAGGCACATAAAATTAGATTTTAACCCCCCCCCCCTTCCCTCCCCCTTGCTTGATTCTCCACACCCCCTACTGATAGCAAAAAACGTAACAGACGCGTTGCCGGTGAATGTGACCGTGTTTGAGTGGCTGGGTACCGTTCTTGAAGGGGTATTTTCTGCTTCACTTGCGTATAGTATTTAAATAGTGAAAACGGAGGTCAGCGGTTTGGTTGCTGCGACGGAACTTGTTCCTCACTGCATTTTTAATTTTAGAAATGGCACAAATACTTCTATATTTCCGTTTAGAAAAAGAAAAAAAAAACTGTTTAGGAGGACTGTTTTAGCGGACTACAACTACAATCATCCTTTGCTGCATAACGTGGCGTCGCTGTAATTGCAGAGATTTGATAGATCTAGAATTTGAAGCTGAAGTGATTCATACCTTTCAAATTCTCAACTTCGGTTTGTYTTAACTCTTGCTTTATAGCAACTAAGTCACTTATCCATCCTTTGAACCATCTTGCTCCGCCCTCTGCRCCAATTTCGAAAAAGGTCTCTCCAGTGTCCAAAAGATCGACATTTGAGTGAGTTGACACCAGGGATTTCTTTAGAACTGAATTCATGTATAGTTTGAACCGCTTGGCTTGTCGATTCCAAGTCACAGTCATGTGATACCATTGTCCGATTGGGAAATCACTATTAGATATAATCCAAATTRTTATGGTTACACATAACCCAAAAATCAATTAACGCAACAAAACCATTTGGCACAAAAAAGGAATTGTAGTTCTCGCATTTTGCATATACCTAAAATTCCAACATCGTTCCCAGGGTCTTATTTCAGGTCCCGCCTGGCCCCAAGCGAAGGGACAAGACCCTGAGAACAAGGTTGCTAAAACTCGTTTTTATATATTTTCTGTAAAAACGTCTCGATTGCTTCACACTTTCTCACATCACACGGTAGCCGCCTGTAGGATTCAGCTCTAAGGCCTTGGAGTATGAAACCACTCCATCCACCATTAATGGCAACAGTTCAACATCTAAACCCCCTGATGAGTAATGTAGAACTGAACCATATGACACAAAGATAAATCCATTTATAGTCTTATACAGCCTTTTGCAAAAATTATGAGAATTGTCTAAATATCTAAATATCATAATATCAAGTGCATGATGGGTAATCCCGCGCGATGCCCTTAGTCCCTTGTCTTTGTATTTTAGTTTTTTTTTGGCGAAAGACTTATCCGTAGTTCTAAACATTTTCTCGATGTCAACAATGAATTATTCTAGCAAACCCGCGTGTTCCAGACAATATATNCGTTAAATTTACACTTGTGATTTTTGCAGAACGATTCTCGCGACGATCTGACGATCGCCTGCGTTTCAATTATCCTTTGAAATTGGCTTCAACTCGACGCCGCTCTTCCATCGTCTCACACGTACGATTTGAGTTGCGCGACAGCAAAGCGGCGATTATCGCGCTGTCAAAAACTCGAAAGTGTAAACGGGTCTTCAGAACATGTTTTTTAATTCTTGTGCAATTTCAGTTGCGCGTTCATGGTATTCGCTGATTAGAGCGCAGACAGCTATCCCCTTAATTGTTAGATTTTTCTGCACATTTATACATTTTTTGAGTGCTTTTATTGATTCGAAAAATAGACTAGAAAACGCAAAAGTTCGCGTTACATACATCGTATGAATGTACACAGGAAACATAGCGGTTATCGATTGCATTATTGATGGATGGATGCAATCAATGCTCAGGGGTAGCCTCCTACCCAGGCAACTCTTTTTTCCTCCTTTGGGCTTCCTTTGTAACGGTCATCTTAGCCGCTGGGGACCCTCTCTCGTCCCCATTCCCCTTCTTTTGACTCAAAAAAGACAAGAAGCCCGTGATTCTTAGTGATGGAGGATACTTGCTCAGGTCTTTGTTTATTTCCAAAGGTTAATACTTTGGATCTTGAATCACTACAAAATGTTTGGGAGTGAATTACTGCGATAATAATTACCGCGACATGCACGCAATCTAAACAGGATGACCTCCTACCAAGGCAAAGTTGTTAACACCAAAAAAAATCTATTTGAAAAGCATAACTCAGTTATAACTTCAATAAAAAAAATTATCAAAAAAGAAAGAATAATCCAGTTTCGAATTCTCCAACGCTCTGTGTTAGCCTCATTTGCGCGCAAAATATTCCTAATTGTGCTGAATAAAAGTGTGAGATTTCAAATCAATTCTATTGTCTTTCTTTTGAAATTCCATGCGTTTTCTCGGGCTGTCAATGAAACAAAAGAATATATTGCTTGGTTTTGAGGCTAACACAGAGCAAAGCAGAACTCGAAATCGGAGTATTGCCAGATATCTCATTCAAAAGAAACCATCTATTCTACAAAATGGCGTCACTGCACAATGCATTCAATATGCGCTGACGTCATTTTATTTAAGAAATATAAAACGGCGCGCGTGTCTCTGTCCTCTGATATAAACACGGTGGGAGTTCGAAAAACACGAGAGAAGCAAGCTTAGGAACACGAGCGTAGCGAGTGTTTCTCTTGCTTCTCGAGTGCTTTTCAACTCCCGCACCGTGTTTATATCAGAGGACAGAGACACAAGCGGCCGTTTTATATTTCTTTTATAAAATTTTTCGTGCGAAAAGAACATTTTGCCGGTAAGCCGTGTCTCTGTCCTCCGATATAAACACGGTCGTCAGCCAATCAGAGCGCGCGTTATAATATATCAAAAATTTTATAATTTTCAATCAAACCATGACAGTGTCCACCTATAATCACCGCAGCTCAGTGAATTGTGACAGTATAATATGTATTTTTACCTGAAAGTTTCGAGGTTTGGGTTCATCAAGAAATCATCTAAGAACAAAAAGGATCTGAAAGTGTGACTTTGATTGACAAGAGTGCAAACACTAAGCTATGAAAATAATTAAAGTTTAGGACGAAATTGTGTAATATTCCTCCCTGGGTATTATTATGACAAATAGAGTTGGGGATTCGCCTGGCCTGAGTGCACGCCGTGGCCAAACGAAATGGTTTGTTAGTTGGTTTTATGTATCTCTTTATAATATATTCATTTCTCAAATTCCCAAACCAATTCAAATGGAGTTTGAATAGTGCTAAATTGCACTCAGTACTACTTGAGTAGGTAGTACTAAATCAGTGGTCATTAARAATGTTGTGAAGCAAAACTTAACTATCTCAGTGGGATAAATTACTGTAATTTAGGTCGAAATACAATTACCCATGATGCATCTTATTCAATGGAATATGCAGTCAACGATCAGAAACGTTTKCAAATGTTTGTATCTCTTTGTGTTGCAATCCCTTCAAAGACATTTATAGATATACTTACAGTGAAAAAAGKTTTCTTGAACGAATCGGTATTCCGTRTGCGACTGAAAGGAGGCTAAGTTGCCACCAAGAGATTGACAATAAGCTTGTGCTCCACTCCATGTTTTCTTCCCATTAACGATTTTGAACTGTGACGAGTTGAACTTCAACCATCCACCTTCTTGGGCTAAACAGTATGCATGAATATGAACAGGCGCATGTGCAGTAGTTTCATGAAAKGGCTTTTAAAATAACTTTCTTTTCGGTTTCAAGCAAAGACTACGAAGAAGGCAAACGWCTGCAAAACTGCACAAATATTGTTTTGGATTCACAACGAATAAACTGTTAGAATATCCGATATTMATTTGKCAAATATTAAAAAACCTCATAATTCAAAAACTTAGTTTCACCTGCCAAGGAAGTAGGGMTTCTGGAATACATGGAAACACTACCTGTAAATGTCCCCTGATAAGTAAAGACTAAATTGAATCTAAGGAAAATTAAGTGAGTCGTTAACGTTGAGTTAATGGAAACTTAGCTAACTTGTACTTTTATAGCAACAAAATGTCAATCAAGCCGCTTGTTTTTCAAATTCACTCGCTTAAATGAGTCGTATTGCGGCTCAAGTTACGGTCTTTGAAAGCAGGTCTGGACTCCATTTGCGTGTCAACAAACGGCTTTTGCGTCATAATATCAAAGCTATAGGGTACCATGTATGGATAGCCATGGTCCTTTCGAGAATAATTTGCCACAAACCTTCTTTTTGAGCACATGAATTTCCATCACAATGCAGAAAGATCTGTAAAGTAAGATTTCAGTGCATGATTCTAAGATTTATACGGTTTAATGAAATGAATGAAACAAAATGAAATGAGGGAAGACGATAATGAATAAATGTAATAAATATTTTTAATGAATAAAAATAATCGGCTGTATTATGCTTTCTTCGCCGAATGATGAACGACAACAACAACAACAACAGAAACATTCATTATATTTACAATGATTGTATGGGATAAATTTCAATGTTTCGGTCTACCTGAGGTTCAGCATATTCATAGTCGTCTTTTTTAACATATGAGTCTTTGCTTTGCTTCTTGCTTGACCAATTCAACTCACAAAAAAACGAACCGTTGTAAAARTTCACATAGTTAACAGAGAAACACCTTAACGTTTCCTGGCATGCTGCCAGGCAATCGGCAATAAACATTGGCAGGGTCTTTATCACGTGACCAATCAGGGCGCGGCCGTGTTCACGATGGAATGTCGATGTGGACGYCCAAATGTTGTCGCGGTTGATGAGGTCGCAGATGACGGCTGTCATCGTTATAGCTGTTAATAAAATGATCGTCCGCCACTTCATCGCTGCAAGGTAATTATAAAATTATTGTATCAAACTAGACACTAGACACTGGAATTTTTGCAGTGGAACTTGATTAGGGCAAGTTTATCTATTAACCCAATTCAGACTGAGGCTTTTTTTTGCAATCTGGGCGGAACCAATCTTCGGAACCAATAGGTCTATGAGCATGAAACTTTCACACAATGGTCGCCCACGTAAAACGAACCACCACGCCCAGTCTTTGACCCGTGGGAACAAAATCTTAATTTACACCATTTTAACGATTTATATTTCATTTTAAWAAATTGCCTACAATTGCATAGAGAATGCTGCAATATCATCTGTCTATAATCTCTTTTTTAAGAACTCGMAGACAAACATTAAACGTTGTATTCCCCGCCATGATGGTAAACAACGTCAGATGCAAAATTCAACATCATATGCATGCATAATTATTCCCGTCATTTGAAAATTTTTGTCACACATTATGTGTCACTTCTTCCAATCACAAAGGCGTTCAAATCTCTAATTTGCCAGTTCATTGATTTTTACCCAGAAACCAGTTCGGCTAGTCGCGTTTCGTGAAAACCGGTCAACGACAACCTTTCGTCAATCGACTATATAAGGCTTCCAAAAGGCGTAAGCTGATGGGATCYCTGTCGCGTGCGATTAATCTTATTTTGATTTCTTTAGTTTCCGAAAAGGTGTTCAAATGTGAAAAAAAAACGATGATTCGGTGACCGTGAGATGTTCCTTGACGCTGCCATGTTAAATGTCTGATGGTACTTCCGATGTATAGTGGATCCACATTTTGCGCATGTGATTTCGTCAACGTTTATAAAAAAAAATTGTTTAGAAAGCTACTCGAGTCGAGAATCGAAACCGAGATCGTCAGTTCAACGCAGCTATTCAAGTATGATCTTGCGTGTAAAATATGTATAAAACAAATATGTACAGAAAAAATAAGAATAATTATATTTCAGTAAAAAAAGAAAGAAGGAATGAAAAAAAATCGCTTCGAAGCGATCGAGGCGAGAAGCGATCCTAAGTTCGACACTATTCGAGTACGATAGTCTGCAGTTGCGATCRAAACGTCTGTATTAAATTAATTTTTTCAAGCTAGAGATGACTCAAACTATCAGTCAAACTATGTTTCATTAATGTTAGAATAGTGGACGTATAGTTGAGAAAAAAAGGCTTTTCATGTTGCTAATTAGTAAAACTATAATGAATGATTACCGAGTTTCGCTGCGATTCTTTATTTTACCATCCCATCAGGAGTTGGTTAAATACTCGCTCAAAAATCGTGGCATGATGGTACAAACCTGAGCTCGTTGTCATACATATATTCGAATATATGGAGATGGAGGTRAACTCGTTAGTAAACGGTTAGGAAACGCGTACAGTACAGTCGTCAGAAAAACTCACCTTTACTTTCTGTTTGATTATTATATYCGCTGAAAAATCGTCTGTCTCCCAGTTTGTTTGAAATGAAATTGTATTCAAACACCTTGATAGGGCGTTTTTTTTTCGTAAAGTATATCCAGATCGTAGTCGAATGAGCTATATCATAGTCAAAACGTCTTTTGTCGAATTGAAATTAATAAAACATTTAAGAAAAACAACTACAGAAAACACTGAGACAGTTGATGTACGTAATAACATTAGTCACGTGGTGGGAGATTTCTATTTGTACACATTCATACTGGGAGATATTCAAAGTCTCTGCTTACTAAGATTTCTCAGTAACCAAAACAATTTTAACTTGGAGCCTTTGTAGCCTTTTCTTTTTTATTGTAAACTACAATAAAGGCAAAGTGAGTCAAGTCATAATGGAATATGACTTTTTAAGGAAGGAATCCTTGTTTTGTTATTATAATTATTTTTATTAATACCATCTAATGTCATTATTGCTAAGATTAGTATAGGGGTTTATGCCTGAAGGGTCACCCCGTCGTAGAGCTGTACGGCTTTCACTAATTAAATGTGGATAGTCCAGTTTTAGTACTGATGTGGATTTATCGTCGCGATTCACTAACAAAAAACTTTATAGCAACGAAAACAACCGCTAGATTAATATCGTGCAGATATAATAACAAATGGAAATTTTTAATTWATTTTTTATCAATAATGGAAGAGAAAATTAACCCTCATAACCCAGCTGCTGGTAATTATAGAAAACAACTCTAATTTTAATAAAAACAGCCGAAAAACGTTACTAAACTTAATGTAAACATAATTTAGAACGGTCTATCCCCCATTAGGTGGTCGCTCATGAATTCCCAAAAGTCGCGATTCTCATATATAGCTATTTCAAAAAAGGTTGGCGGATAAAATGGCCAATGTCAATGCCGTCGAACGGCGATTGCACGACCGAAAGTAGCATGGGTTTTGTATAGTTTAAAACACGATCTCGAGTGCTTTAAACAGCCTAAGAAACTCCAACACTAATTTGAAGCACAAATCCGTTAAAATTCTTGGAAAAATTGCCGTAAAAACAATTTTCGAGATAAATGGGGCAAACTGATCATGCGCGAATCATTGTACAAGGCACTATTTCCTTCCCACATTGAATACGCATAAAGTAAAATAGAACCGCTGTTGCCTGTTTACTGAAATCGGTTGACATCCTGCATTGGTCAATGATCAGGAATACAACCTGAGACCTTTGCTAGGGTCATGGAACTTTATATCTGATAAAGGTCACCCTTATTAATTAGTATTCTTTATATAAAGAATATTTATGTCTCATTCATATGATGTTCTTCGATGGCAGTCTCGGGACTCTGGCCCTGTATTTTACATCACAGAACTTGAATGATTTATTATTCTTTTTGTGAATAAATGAATTTCTTTGTGACCTTGTAGMGTAAAAAAAAGCACTAAAACTGTGAAAAATTTCAGTACAATGTAGGTACCACTTAATTTCATGCATAAATTGAGCTCATTAATATTAATTCCTTGACATGAGTTTGCAAACAGCAGTTCTCCAGAACAGCTGTTTCAATAGATTTCTGAAGCCATTTATGACACATATTTGTATTGCAATGCATTGTGGGATGAGTTTATTGAGGGTAAAAAAAAGGAAAAAGAATCCGCCATGTTTCGCCAAAAGCATATCCCACAATGCATTGCGTATACCGTATAAAATTAACATAAAAGCGTCAGAGCTCTATTCTTCGTTTGCAGGTTACGTAACAGCGGCCATCTTGGAGGAACTTTTACAAAGAATTTCTCATTAGTAACTATTGTTCATTCCTCCAACATGGCCGCAGGTGTTTTATCTTTTGAGTCTCATGGGAATGAGTGAAAACGATCAATTGGACAACGTCAACGCTACTCGAATGTGTAGAGCTATTTACCAAAATAATTGACCATTAAATGCCTGTTAGGGATGTTGCAGTATAATTCCGCATCTTCACTCATTACCTCATCCGGAATGATCAAGTTATGGGAACGAACTGCAGATGCTGTAATAGGCATACAACGAAGATGTGAATGGTACACCGCCACTAGGGGAGGAGGGTGGGGCAAAGACTGCTCTATTCCTCCGTTCAACTGATTAAGTGGTTTCTTGACTTATACTCTAGGTGTGCAGGGAATGACGGGTATTGCTTTTGCACGAGACCCCGTTGAAAATTCGTGTATTACGTAATCATTTCCGGTAAGCTAATTAATTATACAGTGATTATAATGTATTCAAATTAATGAAGTGTATTCGATAAAGGAACACTTAAAGTAAGGCTTACTAGTATACACCACATCATTTTTTATTATATCCAACAAAACCTGATTGTATTCTCTACTTTCACATATCCATAATGCTTTCTATTATGGGGGCTAATAAATCTTATTTGAATTACAATAGAAAAGGAGTCTAACTAATTCTGATATAAATTCATTTACTAATACTGTACATTTGCATATTTGAACTATAAAATATCGATCATGCCGGCTATTATATATGCATGAATGCTTTTTCTGTTGCGTCAGGGCTACCTGCGTATCACCCATGTATCCGCAGAACAGGAAATAATTAAAGGACCACGTGCTTCCAAGAGCCTTTGCGAGCCTTTGAAATGCGATTTCTGTTGAGATGTGCCTTTTTGTTGGTTTACAGTCAAAGATGGCGAATTTGAGAAAATCTCGCAAAGGTTCCTGGCGAACGTCGGCCTTTAAGGAGACGGGGGTTAGTTTATATAGTACAAAATTAATTTGAGTGGACATTTATTTGCCTATACCACTATGATGGTCAAAGTTTATTAAACAGGGATAATCTGAAACGATGGAAATTTGGACTAAAAGTTCTTTTGAACGTTGCCAACATGCATCAAATTGTGTGTTTTTTTTATATTTATGATTCGTCTATTTCCTACTAGCAGTCTCCTCTCGCAGCCGTTACGAACAGCTCGTTCCCAGGTCACTCAACCTAGTGGGAAAGACCTGGAAACGAACCTCTGCGAGAGGAAACTAATTTCTTACTCGCTCCTGACCAGAAAGTGTTTCATCGCGGCCCCATTGGCGACCATAACTCTTACAATAAAAAATAACATGATTTGGTGTGACATTTTAGTGTTATAAGGCAATTTTAGACATTTTTATGCCTAATGGACTCAAAATACTCCTACKATAACTGTATCTATACCATTATTGTTGTGTTTCTATTCAGGGGGAGGTTGTACGAAGGGTGAATAGCACTGTSCATCCACCGGATAATCCCTATCCAGCTGATAAAGTCCATACATAATCTAAACATTGCCAATGGCCGGGCCAATCTGGTGGATTATTTTATCAGCCTTCGTACAAACGACCCCTATTTTGATAAAAAATAACGTGTTTGCATAGGTAATTGATGTTTTGTAGTGGTATTTGAGATAAATACCATGCGTGATATTTCARAATTGTCGAACAAAATTTCACGAGCGAAGCGAGGTGGTATTTATCCCAAATTCCACGCACAAAACATGATATTATTTGTTTATAAAATGATTGAATAATATTGTGCAATTTGAAATACCACTATTAAGGATAACTACCATTCCTCTAAGCCAATCAAATTGCACAATTTTATTCAACCATATTATAACATACTATACACTTAACCCATCCATACTCCCTCCCCCCTTCCCCCTACCCCCTACCTCCCTACACAAAGGTCTAATCATAGATACGTAATTGAACTCTCTTCAACATCTGTAATTTCAAGCGCCTCTTCATAATCAGGGGGAGGGCAGAAGTACAGTGATCCATACCGAGGAGGCCCTGAGGGTAAAGCACTGACCGCTAATGTAACACCGTTATCATAGTGTCTTTCGTCTTGTCTTCGTGCTCTTTCAATTGTACTGGGTTGGCTTAATTCTCCCTCGTCGTCTGTCTCKGCAGTGATAGTGATGACTCGTGTTGTGGAGATCAAATAATTTACAGGAAGTCCTGTGGAGCAAGAGTGGACGGGTCGATGTAAGTAGTATATAGAGGATATCGTATGGCCGCGCGGAGATGTAGAGGATATTACATTGGCGAGCGGAGATACGAATTTTATCTTCGAGTGTTCAGTCCATATCTCACGAGTGAGCGTAGCGAGATTTTTAACACGAGAAGATAAAATTCGTATCTCCAAGCGACAATGTAATATTATGTTTATCATATAATTACATGAAGTGTMGTAAAATACCTCTTTTCTTACTTACCACTATATCAGTAAAGAAACCTCGAATGTGCAATTTTTACTAATTAAATTAACAACWTTACGAAATGGASAAATAAAGGTATTTTATTGGACATTCCGGAGTTGCTCAGGAGAATGGGCACTAATCAAAGAAATATTTATCTAATCACGAAACAAACCCCAACCCATGAAAGGACACCCAAAAATTATTAAATATACCAAGTTTCAAAACGTTTGGATAAAAACTAGMTGAACAGTATTTATTCCTAGTTTCATCAAATTAACAGAGAATTTATTGTTTTGGGGACGCGGTCAATACATTCTCTGTAAATTGCACGGCTTCTCATTAATTGAAT